ACAAGAGTCACATGTGTCTTCTCCCTCTGCCTGTGTTGTTATCCGCAGCCTCTCTGTTGGTTTGTTTTGCCAATAGCCGGTCTGCTCACGACTGAAAATGCCTGTTTTATCATCTAACGTCGGTGAATTAAGGATTTAATTTCCACCAAAACCAGAGTTGGTGATTGTTGGAAGACTAACAGAGGACGGTTTTTGTGAGTTTTATTTCTGTTTCTGTCCACTTTGAATGAATTTATAATTTAGAACTCGAGTTATAAAAGAAGACTTCTACTCCTATTCATTTTTTGGGGGGTACGGATATTTGTCCCCACAAATGTAATCATGTCCAATATGTAATCAATTGCAATTAATTAAATATGAAAAGGACCGTCTGTCATTAGAAGTATCGTCGTTGAACTGAACGTGGCCAGGATCAGACAACAAAAGTAAAAAACATCAACATTCTTGTCACAATTGATTGTAGAATGATTTATTTCTTGCTACTCTTCTTTCTGACATCTTTTTCTTCCCTTCTTACCTCCCATTTCTCCTTCCTCGTGTGGGAGATAAAAAGTTTTAGATGGGGTAGTAAATGTAGACAGTTTGTTTTGGGGGTTATATGTATATAGAGAATAGCTGTTAGCTGATATATTAATGTTCTAACTCTCTCCTATATATATAAAACCATAACCCCACTGGTGAGGAAATGAAATAAGATCCAGGAAGTCCAGTTGCAGTAACAGATTAATGCATTTGAAGGTTTATTGGACACCAATGGACACCAAAACGCTGCACAGCAGTCTGTCATACAGGCAGGATTTTACTCTGGAAGATGATCACTGCGAGACAAACAGCAGGAATATGGAGTTCATGTTACATTAGTGCTCGCTGCATGAAATACGTTTTTTTGTCGGAGCTCACTGCTGCACCAGCCCCCCCCCCTCAGGATCCTACTGGCTTTCTTTAGGGAATGTTGTAGCCTTAAATGCCTGATTTGACAGCAGCTTTTCTAAAGAACTGGGACACAGGGGACTGTTATGGTTGGTGAAGCTCGTTGGAAACTACAATGATTGGTCAAATTTGCGGAACAGTTGCAGTGATTGGATATAAAATTGCAGGGTTGTGCAGAATTCACCGGGAAATGGTTGAATTTGTGTTAATTGTGGCAATCGCAGCTTCCTGGAGAGACTGACTCACTCAGTTTAAACGAATGTCAGAGCTGCATTATCTCACTGCTCACAGCACAGCTAGTGTGGTTACAAGCTTTTAGTCATGTTAACCATTAATTCCTGCTGATGTTTTAATCACAACAATGACAAAAAAATAAGACGGCTAAAATAGGGCTGCACCATTACGGCCAAAATTACCACCACAATTATTTGAATCCATATTGAAGAGCAGCTAAATGTGCTGTTGTTTTGATAAAGAAGTCAGGCAATAATTGTTGGTTGTTGGAAATAATAATTTCCATCATCCTGCACAGTGCGAGTCTGAACAGCGACAGTGGAAGTGGCTGAGAGGATGGAGGTGTGCAGCGTGTCCGCCTCCTCTGACAGCTCAGTGCTCTCTGGCTGCTCCTTCTTGTTCCATCACTGTGACACATTCACAACTCATCCACTGTCAAACTAATTTAAAAAATGGCTGTTGTCTTGTTTTGTCAGTTAAATACTTTTACTTTGAAACTGCAGCAGTAAGAAATGTTCCTTTTATTGTCAGCAGTAACTCATTAGAACATATTTCCACAGGCTGCAGCTGCAGGGTGTGTGTGCAGCCATAAGACAGCTCCCTGAAAGTGAAACCAGAACATCTGGATCACCCGTGGTGGCTGGCTGTTTTTAAATGCAGCAGTTTTCTATGAGCCTAGCACATTTTAAACATCGACCATTAAATCTTGGCGAGCTATAATCGTGATTAATATACGATTAATTAACCTAAACTCAGTGTCCATAGCAGAGACACTCACACTGAAATACTCCCACCTGAAAACAAAGAGATTGAGTAAAGGAAGGAAGACTGCCATGTATCCAATAAATATGAAACACATTTATTTGGTTGGATGTAGTATGAGCACATTAAATCATAAAGATGTAATCCTGTAATTTGTTAAAAAGAACTGTAATGTAACTGATCCCAAAACAGTAAAACCACCTCCTTAATAATGATCTACTGTAGCTTTTACTTGATCCATATAGTTTTAAAATAATTCTGGAAGTATGATTCATGCTCTTGATCTCCACCTAGGTGAAGTCGATGAGACGCCAGAACATCCAACCTGGAGTCCTATCAGGGGTCAGTTTCAAGCAGAGTTACAGAGGACAAACACAGACGTCTGAATTTGCTTTCCTACTAGGAAAAAAAAGAATATTTTTATCTGTCGAAAACAAACCAACATGGCTGCACTGATATGACGTGCCACTGTGCGAGGAGCTGCACTCCATTCTGAGCTTAAAAGTCTTGTTGGCTGGAAACTTTTTCCACCAGTCCGTGTCACATTCCACGTTCGATTCCCCTCTCGTTGGTCCCGGGTTTAGAACATGACTTGGGCTCTGAAGTGCTTCTGCCTGGTGGTGTTGTTGCTCATGCCCATCTTCAGCATCCACTTCGACTTCATCATCTGTACGTACTGCATGTCTCTGGGTTTCTGATGGAAGCCGTGGCCTGAGAGCGAGAGAGAGCGATAGAGGGCGAGAGAGAGAGGGAGAGAGCGAGAGAGGAGGACAATGTGTGCAGGGTCATTATTTGGTTCAGGAGCAGGCCTCCACTGCAGGTTAAGAGTCCAATTCCTGGTAGAAATGAACATATTTGGCCAATACAACTGATTCTGATTTATTTTTTGAACGTGGCCCATATCTGATTCCAGTGTGAACCGGTCCTTAAGTGACCCGCAAGACCATCGTAGATCTAGAGTGACATAAGTCACATAAAATCTGATCTGACTGTTCACACTGTCAGCAGTCGGACCTGAATCTAATTTGGAGCACGTATGAAAGAGGCCCAGATTCCATGTGCTTTAAAACTGAAGCAAAGTTTAATAAATGAGACAAAGACCAGAATCTCACCTCCGTCTCCTCCCCAGCCCAGAGCTCGGTACTGCCGCAGGACTCTGCCAACGGCGTTCTGATTGTGGGTCAGTGCCACCGCTCTCTGGGTGCCGAACCGCTGTTTGTAGTACCTCATGAGGGAGCGGTGGCCGATCTTGGCACCTGAACAAACACAAAGACGTTCATTCAATGTTAGCCAGTAAAGCCAGTGAGAGCACAGATCAGACAGAAACAGCTACAGTTTTCTGCACCAAACATTTCAAACGTGGATCCACCACCAATTTGATCTAATTTTAAACATACATTTTTCACCTTTCATCATAAGACACAGTATTTAAAGCAGGTTTAGCCCATGGACTGTATGAATGAAAATGGATGATGTTTGATGTTTTAAAAGTGGAAGCGCCATCAACAAGCCTGGATGGTGTTTGAGATTCATTCTACGCTCACATGGAGGCAACACAGGGTGAGAAACTGATATACAAATCATTTCAGCTGCACTCTCAAAGCCGTAAGGCAGAAATATAAAAGGCTTATTTGTGCTATTTTAATTTAACTGAATGATTTTTCTTTCCACCCACACATTGTACACATTGTACACAGGAGCCCTGCTCTCTGCACTCTCAGTTAGGTTCTACTACTGACTTTGACTGATTATAAAAACTCGGTTTAAAGCGGTGTCACCTGAAGGGAGAGTCAGCTCCAGCGTCTCGTCGTCGTACTCCAGGGTCTTGTCATCAGGCAGCTCCTCTTCGTCCATTTCAGCATCCTCTCCTTCCTTCCTGTCTGGGTAGCTGCTCCTGTTGGCAAAAAAACAACCAAACGTGTGAATCAGAAGGAGGATGAAGACCAAACGCCTTCCTGCTGCCTTTAGGTGCTCTGATAACTGTGGGAGGTTTCATCCAGTACAACGGGCCAGTAAACGGGTAAATGGATGGCAGGTTATTAAACACACACAGTACCTGAAGTCGTAGAAGTCTGCGAACTCCAGGGCCGCGTCGCCGTCTGTGAAGAGTTTACAGTGGCTTTTGTCTGTCATGTGACTCTGCACCGCCTCTGCCGAGTAGAACGAGCGGCCCTTCTCGTTACACCACAAACACACGTTCCCAGCACCCACTTTCTCCCCTGCAGCACAACAGAAGATCAGTATAAGATTGGGCTGGGAAGAACATCGCTCACACGGTCGAATCAATGTTCAAACTTTGAATAAAAAGCACAAGTAATCACAATATGTAAGTCACAGACGCTGTCATTAAAAAAACAGCATTATACTGAGGCCCTGGGGAGCCGCAGAGGTTAACTGGCTTACAAATCTCCAGATGTAAGAAAACATTTCATTTTTTCATTTTATTTCTTTTGGGGTTTTTTGATGAAAATTAAATTTGGGGTTATTTTTTTACGATGTTTTTACATTTTATTGTTTTTATTGTATTCATTTTTTAGCCTTGCACAGTTTGCTATGTGAAGCACGTTGGGCTGCATGTTTGTATGAAAGGTGCTGTATAAATAAAGTTGAGTCGAATCAACATGTAAGTTGGTATGGGACTGAACTGTGAATGGGCAGACTCTGGGTACTAACACTGCAGTCATTCCTCTCTCCACACTGACTGTCACTGACTCCTGCTCAGATGTAAGAGACTGCTCTGATCCAGACCTGTGGGGTAAGAATCAAACCATTAGAGCCCGGACCCTCACCGAGGTAGCGGACGAAGCCCTTGAGGTCGACGAGGAACTCCACGTCGGGGATGAAGAAGCCGTGGACTTTGGTCATGTGGGCGACGTTCTTCATGAGAGACTTGGAGTGGTGGGGGCAGAACAGGCAGTCGGTGACGGGGATGGAGCCCGGCAGAGCGGCGGGCTGGGGCTCGGACGGACCCGCAGAGTCTCCTTCCTCTTGATCCATCGTCTCCTCTTCATCCTCCTCCTCCTCCTCCTCCATCTCATCATCCTCTTCATCCTCTTCGACGTCCTCCCACTCCTCTGCAAGATTTTTATTGGAACATGGCGTCACTTTTTAACACAGAAAGCTAACAAAGATCTTTAATTAAACGAGCTGACATCTTACATTGGGAGTTCATTTACTTTAATTAGTCTTCAAGCTTCTGACTAATCATTTTCCTTTAATTTGGCTTCAGCCCATAAGTAAGAGTTCAAATCAAGTAGAATTGATTCAAATTAACTGTCCAGAAAGAGTTCATTGTACGTACAATTAACAACCTGTGTACGTATTTATCAGCCGCAGCAGTGAGACATCGGTACCGTATGTATGCAGACACTAGAATACTGCTCGCAGCTCTGGAAGAAAATAGATTTGATGCCAAATCACCGTGAACTGACAGTTCACCCAACCGACAGTCGAGGTTTCTGTACTGTAGTTTACGTAGGCGATCTGACTGAGGGACTAAACTACAAAACTCCCAGGATGACACTGGTTATTTCCAGGATATTTGGTCATTTTAATCAATTTCCAGGTCTATGACTGGAAAACTACATTTCCAGGTTGTTAGGCAACCCTGTCAATAAATCCCATGAAAACACCACAGCCAACAGTGGATGTATGGACTGACACTGACACGGTGTATGTTTCATCTGAAAACTGAAGGATTTTAACGATCTAAGATCTAAACTCTTGCTGAGCTGAGCCTCCGCTGCATTAGAAGAGGACGCAGTTAAAACAACCAAAGAGCCAAAAGAACAATGGCCAAGCGTCAGTAAAGAAGCCTATTGAGTATGATTGTTGAAAAATAAAAATACGGACAAATAATTGTAGAAAAGTTCCTTAAATATCAGGATGATGATGGTTTCATTCCTCCTGCTCCTCCTCCTCCT